GAAAAAAGAGGAGAGAGGAGAGAGACAGGTATAAGCTTGCAGAAGGGGGAGGAGAAATACATTCCTTGGGGCCAAAATGTTACCTGGATTCCTACCTGGGATTTCCCTATTATCTCAGGACCTAAAGAGAAGAGACCAACCAGGGGTGCTTGAGCGCCTCTAACAGAAAGCTGCCTCCAGCCCACAACACCATTGCTTGGCAGCAATTGGAGCAGTGCACAATTAAGACCTTTACAAGCCCTAAGCACTTGGAACAAAAAGAGAAAACAAAAGCAATACTAAACCCTAGACAAGTGTAAGGAACCCCTTGACATTGTCATTTTCCCCATCATGACTTTACTACTTCAGGCCTGACAGTCAGGGTTTGGATCCTGACCTCCCCACTTCCTGCCAGACTAGTCACAGCTCTGTGCCTTGCTTTTCTCATCCACAAAATGGAGATGATGATAGGACCTCCCTCATTATGGCTGTCACAAGTGTTAAGTGAATTGATATGTGTGAAACACAGCACAGCGCCCAGCACAGAGCAGGTGCTCCACTGTTGGGGCCAATTAGTTTTATTACTAATATATTTTTTGATATGTAACATTTTAAAATAAAATTTTCTCTCTTCTGTTTTTGGTGCCCTGATTTATCGGTTCCCTAACGTCACATCTGGCTGCTAACCACTCTCCTCGCACTGACCTTGAGCACTCCTCATGGTTCCTCAGAGCAGCTGAGAGTAACGGGGCGTTGTCTCCCACCACATTCATTAAACAAACGAGGACATGTGGTTCATGAAGCATTGCTAGAAGACCCTGGCTGTCAAACCTGAGTGGTCAGGATAGTACCCTGCAGGACTTGTAATCACATAGATTGCTGGTCCCACCCCCAGAGGCTCTGAGTCAGTGGGTCTGGCTGGTGTCCACAGTTTGTATTTCTACCATGTTCCCAGGTGCTGCTTCTGCTGCTGCTGCTCCAGGGCCCACACTCTGAGAGCCACTGGTCTCGAGTGAGGAGACCAGTCCAGAAGCCAGCTGAAATGCACTGTCTTGGAAGGTAAAGAGCATTTTTCTGGGGGATGTGATAATTAGTAAGACTTGGTCCTGGGTACCTGAAGCCAAGTGAAGGATGACAACAGATTCAGAAGAACTGGAGGGCAGGACAAGATGGCATAAGGAGCATCAAGTCCTGCAGGAGTTCGGAAGAGAGTTTCCAGCTGGGTGAGAGGATCTGGACTGGGCCTCCGCGGCCAGTGAGTGCGGTCCAGCACCTGGCCTTCAAGTGCAGTGTGGTGGTCTTCAAACACGTGCTCTTGCCGTAGAGAGGTGTCTCCTGTGGTCTGTCCCTGAAACCAGGTGTGCTGTGGCTGCTTAGACCACAGCAGGGCCCACTTGTCGATTTGGCACAGCAGGCATGGTGCCCAGGGCCCATACTTTTAGGGCTCATGAACATGTTTTAATTTCTTTTAAAATCAAAGGAAAGAAGAATTTGATAATAATGAATCCAGACTGGATTACATTTAAATAACATAGTCATAAAACGTAATCTTAATATTTCTTTGGAGGAAGGGGCCCATGAAGGCAAGAATTCCGAGGACCCTAAAAAGTCATAAGGTGGTCCTGCCAAGTGAGTGTGATGGAAGCGATGCCCTGTGACTTCTGAAGCTGGGTCAGCAAAGGCCACACAGCTTCTGCATGGTTCTCTTAGGACGCTCCCAACTGCTCCGAGTTGGCCTTGCTGGAGAGGCATGAGGCCCATCAGTTGTGGGCATGGGAGCCAGCCACCTCGGACATCCAGCTCAGCTCAGCCCTCACAGGACCAAAGACAGATGGCAACCACACAAGGGGCTCCAAGCCAGAACAGTCCAGTGGAACTCTCCGCAAATTTCTGGTCCACAAAACAGTGACCAAAATAAATGGTTTATTTGAAGCAGGTACATTTTGGGCTAATTTTTTGCAACATAATTCTAACCAGAACGTTCAGCCAGGGAAGGGAGCTCAGAGGCTGGTGCTCTCGCAGGGTGACGAACAGATCGGTAGGTCCTGATCCCAGCAACTCCCGCAGTTTGGGTGAGTTTTATAAGAAACTGGGTCACTGACTCCTGATAGCCCATCTAGTCATTGAGAGCCCGGTGCGCAGAAGGAAGGAGACAGGAGTGTGCACTGCCTGTGGCAGTGGGGTGCTGCTGGGAATTTGAAGTTAGGAGCAACAGAGCTGTGCTTTACAGGGATTACTGTGGTGTGGAATAAAGATGGATTGGTGGGGGTTTGGGGAGGGGCACGGAGAAGATGGGGAGACATCAGCAGTGGAAGCCAGTGCCTAGGACAGAGTTCTTGGGTGCAAACCACAGAAACGACATCCAGCCAATTTACGCAGCAAAGGAGTTTACTGAATGGCATCGTTTTTTTTTTCCCAACTGATGCAAGGCTGGAGAAAAAGAGCAGGGCCATGGTGGGCCAGGCATCTGTGAACGAGGCCGGATCCTGCCAGGGAACAGTGGGGAGGGTGCCAGGGTATGCAGAGCAGCCACTGGACACTCACCACTGCTACTGTACAAAAATCTCCACCTCCCCCTCGCTCCCTGGGTGGCGGCCATAGGGGACAACTGAATTGCCAGGGAGTGGGAAGAGAAAGCATCTGCTCCCTTGTTTTTGTAGGGACCATCTCTGTAGGACACCCCAAAACTGAGGTTTGGATACTGAGTAGCCCAGACTGAAACATAAGTTCTACTCCAGCAAGTGAGAGCTTGGCCTGGTCCCAGTATGGCGATGGGCAGGGAGAGGGGACAGTGGCTATGCGAGGATTTGAGGAGGGACTTGGGGTAGCTGGTGGCCCAGAGTCAGGCTTTAGCCCCACAGTGTTTGGGTTCAAATCCTGGCTCTGCCACTTGGCAGTGGGACTGGCAGTCGGCACTTTATGTGACTATTTGACTTCCCTAGGTCTTTGCTTCCTCGCCTGGAAGACATGGACACTAACTGTATCTACCCTACTGTTGTGGTCAGGAAGAATCGTGGGCATTTTGATAAGGTGTTACAAAGGTAGCTGTCCACAGGAAGACTCCCAGAGGTGTCAGCTGTTGTTTTACTCATTATTTTCAGTAACTGGAGGTAGACCTGGGGGGGGGGACTGAGGAGTCAAGGATAACACGTGGGATTCTGTTTGGGCCGCTGGGAGTGGAGGTAAAGAAGACTTGGGGAGATGCAGACCTGAGGGGGAAGAGGATGCTTTCGGCACTGGTGGCTGCGTTTCCGTGCTTCTGGGAGACTCTGGGACAGATGTCCAGGAGGCCATAGGAGCTATGGGCCTGGGCTTCAGAAGCACATCCCAGGCTGGATCCAGGTTTGGGAGTTCTTGGCAGGCAAATGGTGACTGCACCATGGGATTCCATGTGAGGGAGAGAGAAGGGTGCTTCAAGGGAGCCCGGAAAACACCATGTGTCAGTCTGGGTTTCCTCAGAAGACTCTGAGTCTAGCACTCCAGGATCAGTTGTTTATCTGGGAGATGATTTTGGGCGACACCAGTACGGGTGTGGGGAAGCAAGATGGGAACAGGTCCCTAGAAACAGCAGAGACAGGGTCTGGATGCATGAGCTTTATTGGGGTAGAGAGGGCTCAGGGGTGAAAGAGGCCAGAGAGGAGGGGAGGAGGTGCGCAAGGATCTGCCCGTAAGGCCAGTTGAGCCTTGGCCTCATCCATGAACAGAGAGGGGTTTGGAGCAGAAATGGCTCTGCAGAGTGTAGCTGTTGAGGCAAGGGAGCAGCCCCCTCTCATGCCTCATGTACCAGCAGATGAACCATGTGTGTGGGTGGTGTGGCCCGGGTTAGGGGCTTCTGTTAGCAGAGGGTAATTCTCCAGGTTAGGGGAAAAGGTGAGCTGTTAGCAGCCTACATTGAGGTGGTCGGCAAGAACCCAGGAAACGGGGTCTGGGCAGGCTGCCCACAGCACTTAGGAAGAAAGCAGTATGGGATGTGATAATCAGCAACTAATTGATGCACAACCCTGCTGGGGGCCTCTGAGAGGAAGACAGGAATGCATGCCCAAGTTAGTCCACTCCAGACCTGGGCTGGGGTATTTATACTCCAGCTCCTGCCAGTCTCTTGTCCAGGGCTTCTCGGACGTGTTTATCCTTAGCAACCCTTGCTAGTGGGCAATGTGAACTCTGGAGACCAGAGAAAGTTCCAAGGCGAAGATGTGCAGGTGTGGACACTGGAGGCCAGGCAAGCCCGGCAGTGGCACAGTCAGAGTAGGAGACGTGGACAGGGCAAAATAGCATCAGCTACAGCCACCTTTAAATGGACACAAAAGCAGCCGAGAAGGAGCAGAGAGGAGGGAGGAAAATCAGAAGAGGAATGGAGCCACAGGACTCCTTTGTGCAGAAACGGCGATACATTCTATTCACGCGTGTGCATCCCACTGCTATTGTATCTGTAATTTCTAGGGCCAGTCTGGCTAGGGGAGGCTCCGAAAAGCCCAAGGCGGGTCTCTGCTGAGCCGCTCAAACCCGGTCCAGTCTCAGTCTGGCTCAGCGAAGAGCTGGGAGGCGCGAGGGGCTGGGGCGAGTGGAGCGCATATGCGTGGTTGGCGACAGAGAGGGCCTGGAAACCTTCCCTGGAAAATAATGAGCGGAGAAAGCCTCACTGATTAGTTAAACCCCGGATAATCCTGGCTGATGAAGGCAGATCCGGACCCCTTAACGGATTTAGGGTTCCAAACGGGTCCGGGTGGTGACTTGGGGCGGGGCCGCTCTCGAGGGCTGGCTCTGGTGCAGACTTGTCTGTGGGGGGCGGGGGGGGGGGAGGGCTGGGAAGAGCCTGCCTCCCCCCTGCCCGGGCGTGGAGGACTTGCTCAAACGTGGGCGCCCATTGCATGGTCCAGGCATCTGCCGGGCGCAGGTGACGCGCGAGCGGTGGGTGGCTCCGGGGCCCGCTTCCTCGCTCCTTCTCAAGTCTCCTGAGCGGCTGGAAGCCCTTCCCCCACCTGGGCCAACGCTAAGAGAAGCGCTTCGTCCTGCCCGCGCCGATGCGTCCCATCCGTCTGAGCAGAGGATCTGAGCTGATCCCGCAAAGTCCGGCGCTGGAGTGGACGCTCTACCCCCGCAGCACCTGGGGGTGGGGGTGGGGGCATGGACTGGCGCGGCGGGGGCGGGATGGTGGAGGAGAGGCGCTTCTCACTGGGGGAGGGGCAGTGAAAGTGCCTGCGCTCCCGCCGCCGGAAGAGGCCCCAGGGTTCAGCTCTCCCCGCACCCTGGTCTTGCCAGCGCCTTCCTGAAGATGGGGCGGGAGGAGGTGTTAGGAACTCCTCTAAACAGGAATTGCAGAGTCCCCTTAGAGCTCCAACCCGGGCTCCTTCTCTCCGGTCTCTGCTTCGCTTTCCTGGTTTCTCTCTCCCTGTCCGGTGTGAGCGGGTTAATAAGCTTCAGTTTCTTTCATCTGCAAAATAGGTTTTGTAAGATCCCTCCGAAGGGTTTGGAAAGCTGTGTGTTCTTGGCTCTGCGCGGCGCTCACCGTGTGGGGTGGCCCAAGTGGGGCTCCTCTCGCCTGGCCTTTCGGTACCTCAGGGTCCCTGGCCATCTATTTGCGGGCTGTCCTCTCGGTGAGCTGCTGCCTCCACTGGCACAGGCTAGGGGACGGAGTCTCCAAGACCCTGCCCAGGTGTGGGGGCGCCGTCTGCGTTCGGCCGCGAAAGCCGGTGAACCGCCTCTGAGACCCTCCGCTTGCGAATGACCCGGGTTGGGCCACCTTAGGGCCAATTGTCCTGCCTGCCCTGGATTCGGTCGGTAAATGTGTGGATCGCTAGGTTTCCTCCTTAACTGCAGCCCCAATTCTCATCTACAAACGACTACTCCGCCCGGCAAAGAGCCGGAGCACGTAGGCGGGTCCTGTGCTCCCCACGCCTTCGCCTGAACTCAGAGAGAAATTTGGGGAGAAATTCCTGGCGGAGCCAAAAACGACGCCAGCGTCTAAAGCCGCCCCCGACCCGGAGCAATTCACAGAGCAATTATCCCAAAGGAAAGTTATTGTTTTGCTAATCCCGTTGAACAGCTTGCGAGGGGAGATTTGAGTCTTCCTCTAATATTGGAAAGTTAAGACCTAGCCTTGCAATTATCTTTATCGGAAGCCCCTCGTTTAATCTGCGTGGGTAGCAGAGGGCCGGCTCCAAGGCGCCGCGAGCCGGAGACCCGCTTGCTGAGTCGGGCTCCGGGCCGGGCGTGCGCGCCGCTGGCGGCGCGGCTGGCCTGGGCGAGCGGCCGCCTCCCGCGGGGTGACCTCAAACTGCTGGGCCGTCAGGAGCTGCGACCGAAGAGATTCTGCTTCGGGGGCTCTGTGTTTGAGAAGGGTGGGCTCAGGGCTCCGGGCGATTCGGGTTGGGCGGGCTCAAATTTGCCGCACGCGAGCCCAGGGCGGCTCACCCCCGTGCTTGGGCGCCAACATTAACAAATATGGGCTTTTCACGTGAAAATCAGGCTCTCTTTAAATAATCGTTAAATCGGACAATAATTTGTTAGCCTCCGTGAAGAGAGGTGGGTCCCAGCAGACAGGCCCTTAATTTCCAGTTTACTGCCCTCCTCCCCTTTAGGGTTGCCAGATAAAATAGTGATACATATCATACTAAAATTGTATGTTTATCTGAAATTCAAAGTTCACTGGACCTCCTGTAATTTAGTTTGCTAAATCGGGCGCCCTTTCCCATCACTCTCCTCCCGTCTCTCTCTCTCCTCGTTCTTCCCCCGGCTGGTGTGGATTTTGCGACCCCCTACAGACCCGCCGTTAGAGCCCTGGGGGATGGACTTGGCTGGAGGTGGAGTGGGCACGGATTAAATAAACGGGGATTTTCGGGGAGGGCCCTCGTGGCTCCGCAGGTGGAGTTGGAGGTCTGGCGAGGGTCATACTGGTGGTAGCAGTGGGAGTGTGGCTGGGAGTGGGGCCCTAGATCTTAATGCGCGGCTGGAGGGTGGGAGGGAGGCTTCAGGGCAGCTGCGAGCCGGGCTGCCACCCAGAGAATATGGAAGGGAATCTGGAACCTGCGGCTTTTAGCTGACCGGCAGATAGCGAGGTCGCTGTCTCCTCCCTGCTTGGCTCCCACCGAAAACCGGGGTGGGGGTGGGC